GGTTATACAGATTATTAGATTTTATTATCATATCATTTATTCTAAAGTTTCAATGAAGCTGTTCAGCTGTTTAATGTATTGTTCATTGATATGATATGCAATTATGCTGGAGCTTCTTTTGTAAATCTAGGTCGGAATAGGAGAAGGTGTTTCTCCATCAGCTGCAACTGACCTTATTGCCAGGTATGTTTGGCATCTATACTCTTAAGAGCATGTTGTTTTATGACCTACGGTTCATGTTGTTTCACAAGTAACCTTAAGGGCATGTTTGCCCTAACTTTATACTTTTCATTTGCTGTATTAAGCTGTCCACACTCCACATGCAGCACATTGGTGAACTGAAACTTCCTGGCCATGGTTTTACTACCATCAAAATTCAGCTCTCCTTTTTCCCCTTGTAACAATAGTTAACAAAAGATGGACCATGGAAAGCTTCTCTACAAATTTTTTAGCATAGTTCTTGTTGAAACTGGAGTTTATTGATTAATGTTTCTAGTAAAATCAAATGCATACAAATCTGTCTGAATATGTCGATTTGTTTTTTTGGGACTCTGTTTGATGAGATATCTTAAGTTTGGTGTTTTCTTCGGAAATCTATTACTCCATTTTATATGAAATCTTCTTTTCAAGTGTTAAATCTCTCAACAACCTCTGTAAATTTATTATAAATTCATAAATCACCCCAGGGATTTTTATATACGAGTATATAGGGCTGTATGCATGCTATATACACCATTAAAATCTTATATTGTTTGGAGATTCATTTTCAGGTCAGGAGGTAAGAATCAGTTACCCATCCCTGTGCTGTGGAGAAATGATTTTTTTCTTCTCTCTTTTTACATAATTACACTTAGAGACACAGATGAACTTTTATAGTTTTCCAAAACTAGAAAGCATTTTGAATCTAACATTGTTATCTGGCCTTTTGGTATATGGATACTTTGTGCCGCTAGTGCACTTTTTGTGATATTGTTCATCCCTAAATAACTAACCGTATTTTGCTTGGTATTGTCCGATACAACATGCAGATCAATACCTTTGGAAGAATGGTCCAGGGCTGTATCATTTGTCTTTGGTGGGTTAAGTGTAGGAAGTGTTACAGGGTACGTTTTTAAGTAGGCAAATACATATTAATGTTCAACTAGGTGATTCATGTTATGGACTTCGCTTGAAACTAGGACCCTCGTGAGTGTAATTTAGTTTCAAGTGATCTTCCATTAGGAAGGGGTAACAAGAACAAATTGTTGATAGGCATCTAAGCACTGTGCAAATATAGAATTGCACTTGTTCCTGACTTCTGAATTCTTGAAGAATTAATCTATATCTGCCTTCTCAATGACCTTTAGCCGTATATGAACAAGCCTTTTGAAGTCCATTTTCAAATTTTACACTTGGGAGTGCCGTGCCTTCTACCAGACCATTATGCTCCTGTTAGAATTCCAAAGTCTCATAGTGGTTATTGGCCAAAATAGAAGAGGAAGACAAAAGGACATGCATAGAAACTAAATGGTCTTGAATAGAAAACAGGGAATAGTATGAACCATGTTGTTGACTCTGGGCAAACCTGATACTTGATACGTAACATATTTTGCAAATTTACTAACCAGTCAGAAGATTATCAAAACATGGTAGTTTTCTATAACTTAATCATAGAATGCGACAATGAATGTTTTAAACATTGTTATTAATTGTGTTTGATCTTTCACTCTTTCATTTTTCCTTGATTTCCTCTTCAATCAGTTCAATGTACTAATGATCCTGACTTTTGGTATATGACAGCATTGCGATCGGCTAATCAGAACAAGTCGTGGAATGATTCTCTAAATGAATCAGATGAGATGGAAAATTAATGGAATAACACCCTAGAAGAGTTGCGTGTGTCATTGAAGGTATGGTGTCTAATGTTTAGTTACCTTCTTCTGACAATGAGAGCTGTTATCTTCCCCACAAAAAGAAAATGTGTATTTTGAACTTCTATGGTTTTTATGTCTTAGCTTTTGGTGAATATTTTTATCATCTAAGGTACCCTTTCTGATTTGGTTGTGACTATTTGATCTCCTATGCTTTGGTTTACTTCAACTGTATATTAAATTCTTAGTGGTTTCATTTGAAAAGTAGTTCTGATTTGTGGAACATATGCTGGTTGCATATCCTGCTTATTAAGAGCCTTATTTTAGTTGGTACAACTGGCTATGAGGCATATAGAATTCTTTCCCAATGTGGTTCATGGTCATTGGTATTAGAATATGCTTTCTAGATTTATAACTTAATGTAGGTTTTATTATTAAGAAAAAGGTTTTTGCTTTGGGGTAATGGGTAGCTCAATTGCTTTTGGACTACTTTTGTTATCATCACAAAATAAACTTGTTTTGGCCTCAGTCGAAAACTATTGATAATCTTGTTTTATTAGTAGCAAGTTCTAATGTTTCATTATATTGGTCTTGGTCATGTTCTGCTTGGTTCATAGGATGTACCATGGAAGGCTTTTTTTCAGAAGTCCAGCTGTATGGGCTATGATATATGCTCATTTTTGCGGAAGTTGGGGTCATTTTACTTGTTTATCTTGGCTTCATACCTTTTTTAGATAGGTTCATAGCATTTCAGTATTTTACCCCTTTCATATAAACATTCAACAAGGTGAGTATTTTTAGAGGATCATGTGCATTTTGTATATTTCGACCTTAAGGGATACTACACTTGTTGTGTCATGATCCTAAGAGTCCCGCAGGGGTTGTTTTAATCCACCCTTTCGTCGCATAAAACTGTATTTTTTTCACAATTTTATAATCAACTATTTAGTACTTGTCATTCTATTTTCTTGTTATATTATTTCACTCTTGTAGAAGTTTAACTGCTGTTTTGCATGACATGCAGTGAGGAGCTGGATCTGAATTTGAGAGAAGCTGCATGGGTAAGGTTAAAGTATTTGTATTCTCTGTTAGAGCATTCTTCTGTAGATTTAAGGAAGAATGTGCAACAGCTTTAGCCTTCAAGTTTTGTCGTGTGTATTGGCAGAATTACTATGTAAATCTATGAGCATATATTTTAAAAAAGAAAAAGAAAAAAAAAAAGAACTCTGAAGCCAATTTTGCACCTAACCATTCTGTAGTTTCTTTCCTCTGATGAATGATGATAGTGAACTCAGAAATTGTGTGTAATTTCTTATATCAGATACACCCAGTTCTTATAGCAGTTACCGTGCATTCCCAGACTATTGAATTATTTATGTTCTTACAAGTTAGAAACAATATGCAATGTAACTGCAGGTTTCAATCCTTCCTCCCCTGGCTTCCATTTTTGTGACAAGCATAGCTGCACAGTTTGCTGACAATTTAATCGCAAATGGAGTTGAGACCACTACGGTATGGCATGTGACTATTTTTACTTTCTTTAACGAGTTTCTTCATGTTGCAACAAATGATACGAGATGCCCATAATCTGATATAGGTTTTTTCTTAGATCATCTTTGGAGTGAATCTATATAAGCTAAGAAGTGATATTTGTTCCTTGGAATATTTAGCTTTAAAATTTTAAGGACCCGCGAGAACAAGAAGAAGCAAGCTTGAATTGTTCTTTTGAATATGTTATTTGTGATTTGAATCTTACTGATGGCCTTAACTTCGTGCATGCAGATGAGAAAGATCTGCCAAGCAATTTCCTTGTTGTCTCCTGCAACTTGCATGATTCTATCTTCTCTGGATCTAGGACTGAAACCATGGGAAATTGTGGGCATTCTCTGCTGTGGATTATCTCTCTCCAGTTTTGCCTTGTCAGGTAGTGACTAATCCAGCTAGTTCCTTGTTCTGGTTATAGAAAATTAACAGTTATTTTGCATGATATGCCTTTTTCTTGGCTTCCTAGATACAGCATCGGAACTATCTCCTAACCCCTCAACTGCATGCAGGGCTGTATTGTACACATCAAGATATATCGCCTGAATATGCAAGTATACTTTTGGTAAGTAAGTTTATAAATTGCAAGTTGATTGGTTACGTACTTGAAATCTAGGATCTTAAACTGACTAGTGGCATGTAAAAGAGATACTCATGTATTCCTGCTATAAAGTTGGAGCATGTTTTCGACTTTCTTTTATCTTCCGAATGTTGCAATCATACGTAGACAGTTACATTTAAGCATGCTTCTCTGTGAATCACATTAAAAGGTTCTTTGTATTTTCCTCGTAGAGCATTACCAACACTGTCGGAGCAGTGCCTGGAATTGTTGGTGTTGCCCTTACTGGTTTTCTTCTTGATTCAACTCATTCATGGGGTGTAAGTTTAATCTTTTTGATCCATAAATGGAAATGATGCCTCTCCCTATACCGTACCAAAATAACAGGAATTATGTTCTGTGTAGGTGCCATTGTTTGCACCGTCCATATTCTTCTACTTGACTGGTACCATTGTCTGGTTGGCTTTTGCCAGCAGTAAGCCTCAAAACTTTACAGAGAGTGATTGACCTTGTTTCTGCACTTTACTTGTTTTTCCCCCTCCAATTGAAGCATCCAAACTGATACACAGTGTTCAAGGTATCCCTCTCCACCGTGCATATGTACAAGTCAAACGAGTTCGATGTTTATAGTTGGTAGTTGTTCATATACCTACGTGGGAAATACACATTATTAAAACTGCAATTTTCTTGAAATAATTTGTATATCTAGGTAACGTATTGGTCGCATATTGTACTCGAAATTTTCAGTTCTCATTTTTGTTAAGATGCTTATTAAAGTTGGCAATCAGTCCTATCTTTGAAAAACATAATGCTTATGACATTCTTACCTTCTCTTCTCTTCCGGACACCGATACACTTCATACTTTACGGATTAACTTAAGCCAATATATGTGTTGGTTTCTTCTCCCACGTATTCAAAGCAACAAGTTTGCTTTGCCGGAAATTGACTTGAAATTATGAGGTAACTTGTAGTAAGTCAATTACAACCAACTGAATGAATTACATGGAAAAGAAACAGTGGGAAAGCCAAATCTTGTGCAATACCAGCATGTTAAATAACGCTAACTTGACATAATTGAATAAACTTCAGTTTCCACCTTACAATTGATTGCTTGATCAAACGCTACCGGGATACTACAAAAGCCCACAACCTAATCAAGCCGATACGAAGTTCTCCTAAACAAATAGGACCCGGCAGTTAGTTCAAGATACAATGAGATGCATCATAATCACCTGTAACATGACTACATGACAAATGCCGTAAATAAAATTCGTTTGGAATGGTGAATTTTCTACTCTTAAGTAAACAAACAAACTGAATTCTCCCTCCCTAAAATTTCCTCACCCAGAGGAAAAAAAGCAGGAGATAGTAGAATATCTGAAGGTTAATGATCAGTTTCATTTCCTCTTCTTCGATGGCGGCTGAGGAACTTCATCATCCTCATCTTCTTCTTCGTCCTCTACTTCATCCTCATCGTCGTCGTCCTTGTCGTCATCGTCCCCGTCATCATCCTCGTCTTCGTCATCCTCTTGACCGCTCCCTCCATTCCCATTGGCTTCAGGCTCATCCTTGGGATCCCCTTCTTCACTTTCTTCCGCTGAGAAATCCTCATCATCACCATCATCATCTTGATCATCTACATTGTCCTCTTCATCTTCGTCATCATCCTCTGTATCACTGCCATCTTTGTTTTCTGGGCCAGGATGTTCCCTTCTTAGAAGTTCATCAAATGGAAACCTGAAAAAGAAGTCAATCCCACTAGCTCTCAGATTTCCACATCAATGATTGATGGGTGGTAAATTAAGATGAAAAAGAAAAGGAATTCCATTACCTCTGATCTACTGCAGTCAAATTAAGTGATGCATTCATATCATTCAGCACCGATCCCGTCTGCAACATCTTAAATCATGTCAGAAAGTATCCTGAGCAAAATGCTATAATAATAAGTAAATAAATGATGTAAGCTTCTCATATGCAACAAGTTTCTATGCACATTTAAAAATGTTACAGAGCAACAGAAATAAGTTTTTGCATCAATTCAGGTCGACATTATATGGATATACCACCCAAAACATAATCAAAAGATCAGAGGAAAATGGTCCGCAGACATGGAGGTGGAACTGTAACCAACTCAGTATGCGATTATTTACAAGCCAACGTTTTTTAAGTACTGAAATGTTAACAACTTATTCAAATGATTAAAATAATCAGTTTCATCATCAAACAAAGATGATCCAGACTTCCCAAATTAAGTAATAAGTAACCTTGATAATTAGAAGTGATATAGAAGGATTCAGGTGTCTTGTGTAGAATCTAACTAAAAACAAAAAGTAGTAGGTCCCCACAGGCAGCAATTTAAAGAATCTATAGCCATCACTGGATGTTGAAGAAGATGGTAATGTTAAATTGCAGGCAACAAAACAAAAAACCGCATACTATTTTCTATTAGCAAGAAGATCATATTAATTATTATAACAAAGCTTAATCTAAACTTATTATAGGAAAAAAACCATTTTCAGGAAAGTACAAGTTTCAGTCATCAAAAAGCTACTAAAACGTAATGAACTTAATTAAAAGAGAAAACAAAAGGTGCAAACAAGTGTAATCTTCCACAAACGCCTATTCTAAAGATAAGAGGAAAACTTATGACCCCCAAGAGGCGGCCCACACAATTTCAATCGCTGAAAGTAAAGCTTGCCCTTAACAACAACAACAACCATGTACAAATTAATAACAGAAAATGTAGTAATTCTAACACTCTAGTATCTAAAAAACCTACCTGAAGACAAGAAGAGAGTAAAGTCAACTACCAAATTCAGTAAATAGGGTGGGTGTGGGGGAAGAACAAAATACAAGCAGCATAACCTTAAAAACAAACAAATGTAATGTTTTTGGGGAAAAACCCAAAAAGTAGAACATAGCAAATGAAGCAAACAACACGAGTTTCAAACTAGGGAAATCTCTACAAAGAAGAGAGTAAATATACCAGCATGAGAAGGCAAGCAAGAGACTTTACAGCCAGAACTAAAGTCTCGGCCAACAAAGCTTCCATTACAGAGCATACCCAAATGCTCTTTTCAACGGGACTGAAACTACCCACCTCCATTGCTGCCTTAACTATGCTAAAGCAGAAGCACACTTCCTAAAGGAAAAATATTGAAATCAGTTAACCAAAAGCAAAAGACGTTGGAAAAATAGTGAAGATGTAGAGAAGGAGAGATAAAGACCTAAGCAGAGCAGTTTCTGGATCTGGGTTAGGGTTCGGTTAGGGTAAATCCTAGGGTTCGGTCCGGATTAGGGTTTCTGGTTTCCAAAAAAAATGATATTTACCAAGGTTGATTTTTGCGACTTCCAAGAAGGATGAAAAAGAAATGATTTGGATGAGAACAGGTAAGTGAAGTGGAAGGAGAAGAAATGGGTTTGGAAATAGTGTATTTGACTTGACGCAATTCTGGTGAAATTCAAATTGTTTTTCCTCGAGGTTCGGAATTCCACATATGAAAGCCTACCGTAATTATTAATTAATGATAATAAATACAAGGATAACTATTTTAAATACCACCAATATTTAAGCGCTAACTCATTTATACCATAATCGTTTTAATTTTATCAATTTTAGCACTAACGTTTATTTTAAATGCAATTATAACACTTCGTTGTTAATAATTTAACGGCACGATGATTGGGCAACGGCATGTCGTTACATCGTTAAGGTGGATGCCTCATCTAAATGACGTCGATTTTGAAGTTTATATTTTAATGCTCAAAATACCCAAAATGACATCGTCTTGCTTAAACCCTAATTTTCCTAGAGACTATACTCAAATTTTCCCATTATTTTTTCTCTCCTTCCTCCATCTTCATCTGCATCTCCTTTTCCATGGTTTTCTTGGCAACCAAATGATCACCGTCCGACAGCGACGCCTTTGTTCATTGCTAAATCAGAGAACTTTTCCTCAAAGGAGGGTCTTCGTAAAATCGACCATCGACTTCATCAATCGAAAGATGAAGTCTGCATTTTCTGTTTGCAGCGATGAACACTTGCGAGATGCTGGTGAAAACACTTCCTCCATGCTTTATATATACACAAAAAATATCGGTTCAATGAATAACAAAACAACGGCGACGACAGAGCAAAGCATTGGGATCCCAAGCACTAAAGCCCAGCTAATATCATTTTGGTTATAAACCACAGTAGGTTGAGCGATCATCAAGACAACCATTTGAGTGTTTTGAGCAATCATCAAGATGACAGTTTGAGTGGTGTAGTATAAATTGTGAAAACTCTTGTTTTCTTTTCACCATTCTTCGGTCGTCAAATCAAATTGATCGATGGCGAAGGGAACACAACAAAGTTTGATTCCGTTGTTTTTCGATGGATAAACAGAATATTCTGATAATCAAAATGACGAGTTAGGCATTGTTGTAGGGTATGCATTGGCCGAGTTGTAGTTTCTCGTTAGTACACGATGGAGGGTGCAGCAGTGGAAGTAAAGCCGTCAATCGTGATTATCATTCCCTATCGATCAGTGGTTGAAATCACATGTTATTGATTATGTTCTGATAGTATATTTGAAATCTAGTTAAACATGCATGACATTACGAGGATATATATATATATATATACCACGATCATTGACAATGACCTGAGAATAATTGTCCAAATTTTGCCGATGAATGCATCAAAATTTGCCCCAATCGTATCATTTAAATTAAAACCACTCAAAGAAAGTCTTCAATGATAGAAACAGGTAAATGATTGCAGTGCAGTGAAAGTGGAAGGTTACGACCTACATGAAAACCATACTTTTTTTTTGTTACTTTATTTCTCTAGAAAATTTCAATTATTTTTAACAAAATATTAGTTCAATTTAATAAACTAAAACATTTAAATTTAGGTTGAAGTTCTAACAAATTAATTCATAAACTCGCAGGTTTTTTTAGCAGCACCTGAAGAGCATTCTATATCCAACTCCTCCAGGCTCCAAGTTGCTCAAGCCATCTAATTCCGAGAAGATTTAGAAATGGTAATAAAATTCAGTTGGTTTAATTTTGTCTCCAAACCTTGTATTCTTTGGGAATTTGAAATTTAGTCCATTTGCTTTTAAAATCTCAAAGAGTAAAAAAAGAGTGTATAATTAAGAGAAAGGGAATAATATCTATCGGTCCATTCCATTCAAAACCTCAAAAAGACAATATGCTACTGTTGAAGAAATTGTCTTCCAAATGAAGCACTTCCATATTCGTCGAACTTAGTTCTGCCACATTATTACCGAGTACAGTTGGTAAATTTATTGCTTCACATTTCATCTAATTATAAGCTAGTATTAAACAAAAATATTTCATATTTGAAAATTTATGGATCAATTAATTTTTTATTTTAAAAAATACAATTAATTAATCATTTTAATTCCAATTATTATCTATCAAACTAAAGATCAGTAAGTTTGTCGATCTGACAGCATTTGATTGGTTAAATATATAATTTTACTTAAAATTTATTTAAAGCTAATAATTTACTTTTTCTTTCTCAAGTTGTGAATTATCCTTATTATATAATATAAAGTACTTACTTTGATTGGTATGATCGCTATTATAATAATAAAAAACATATTTATAAGCATAATTATTAAAAATAATTGTGTTCCGGTAATCTTTTTCTCATCAATAAACTAAGGACCAATCAGAACTGATTTATTATCTTTGACAACAATAAAATTAAATCATCAGTATAATAAGTGACAAAACTTGGTTTAAATATTTGGACTAAATAGATACTCTCGTTAGGATTTAACAACATAAATAGGTTGTTTTTTAGATTTAAATCAAGGATCTCTTAACTCCACGATGAATTAGAAAAGATGATTTATGTCAATAAAGCAACAATTTAATCAAAATGTGAAAGGTTAATAGAATTAAATATACATTAAATGCGAAAGTACATAGACAAACTTCCATTAGATTATTGGTTAACCATATTACACATGTTATGATGAGTCACCACTGATTGGACATAAAATAAAATAAATTAAATAATTAAAATTAATAATTGCAATCATGACCAAATTAAGTTAAATTATGACCAAATTAAAAGAATGTATAAATATCAAGGATCAAATGTATAATTATACCAGTAAAATCATGCAGTTGCGACGGCAAGTTATTTCCTAAATCGTTCCAAATAAATTCAAAGTCTCTAAATAATTCAGTTTAGATAGCATCTTAAAACCTGCAATCAGATACGAAAGCTCACAACAACAACAAAAAGGATTTAGAAGCATTAGTATGGTAAGTGACAAAACTTGTTTGAACTAAGATTGCACTTATCGATTCTGAAATACTATCATTAAAACGATTGTAATTGAGCCAAGGATCCCTCCATGGCGTTTAACTTCACTACTTTCCGAGCTTAAACATAATTCATAAAGTATACAAATTAAAATATTAAATACACTCGGATTATATATCCAATTAGAAACGTTGGGTACAACTTGTGATGTTAATTCATTGTAGCTTTTGCAACGAAGTTTCGTTCGATGGTGGAAATATAAATGTTATTATGGGGACAGTTCACCGTTGTTGTGTTACTTGTGTACACTTTATAAAAAAATTAAAATAATATTCAAAGTTTTAAAAATAAAAAAAAAATCCCATAAATTTATTAAATATATAAAAACCGTATAGTACTCATAAAATTTCTTAGGGAAAACTCTAAAATACACTAGGTTTTGTAAAAATTGCCGACATTCCTATAGCCAAAAGGTAGGGAGGGCAGAAGAGAGCAGTCAAAACGCTGAATCCAATGCATTTTACCATATCAATCCAAGGAAGATCAATTTGGGAACCTGAAATTTGGAAATGATATCAAAATAGTCAAAAACACTACAACTTTTCATATTGTATATGATATAATTCAGTGCACCCACACAACTTTATAAATAAAGCACAGACAAAAGACATGACCTTGTTAGTTCTTACTTCTTACCTGCCTGATTCTGACTTTTCGATCTTTTGTTGTAGTAAAGCAACCCCATGAGGTCAAGCAGTGAATTTGATGACTTTGGAACCAAAATATCATAACCAAACTTTGAATTTGATGAATTCGTACAGAATGGTTGTGGGGTTTACAGGTCACATAAAGGCCTCCATTTTCAAACCTCAATCTTGACTTTTAGGCCCTTTTCACCGGCTTTCACACACCTTGCTACCCACCAAGAATAGTGTTTACTAATCATGGATCGGGTTCAAACCAAAATCTAAGCCCTTTTAATATCTCATCAAACTCAAAATTTGATCTAAATTTTTAGGTAAAAACTTGCACCCACACTCAAATAATTTTTTTTGGTATTTAGGGAATTTAAACGGCATCGAATCGACGCTTACTTTGTTAGGGTTTCTACACCATCTGCCTTCAGCAGAGGAATGAAATCTCGTGGAGGATCTCTCAACTCGTAGACTCCATTTTCCATTCCGATTTTCATTCTCGCTAATTTGTTCGCACATCCGTTGCCCTCTCTCCATCTATGGCGAATTTTAACTACCCATTCTTCATTTCTTAATGCGATGCATTTCCTAACTATTTTTTTTTGGGTGCAGGTCCTCTGGGATTTCATTCGGATTAACTTTATTTTAAGCTTTAATCTAATCTAAACTTAAAAAGTTCGACCCGATAGGATCTAAAACATTATGATTACTGTGGATGATTGTCTAACATTTTCGGTATGCTTGTGATGGGCCATGTTTAATCCACCCTTCCCTACCACGGTGAAGACAAAAAGTGGGAACAGTCAGCCCACGCCAGTCCCTTTTGTCAATGCCATGAGCTTGATGCCGATACGCAAGTAACGCAATGGGCAGCACACTTTTCTGACATTTCTCAACACAAATATTGGTTACACCTAGAAACAATTAATGCTCCTATATACACCTTTCCAATGAAATGGATATATGCATTCTCATTCCACTAACCGCGTATGAATTTAACCTTTTGCTATGACATTTACATGAAAAAAAGATAAGGCTGATGAAATGAGTAACTGTCAACCATATATGCAAAATCGGAATGTGATAATTTTTTGGTTTTTATCGGAAGATGTTGTCGATAGCTTACTCATAGCAAGCACATGCACCCATAGTGCAGCCCAAAGTAAAGGACAAGAGTTGATGAAATCATATGATAATAGGGGTGGGTATATTCCACAGTTTCGCTTTCAACTACTATCCAATTTTCAATTACATCGGAAACAGATATGTTCACCCTCCCCTACACATGCACCCACCACATTTACTTACTCTTCACCTTATTATTTGTTAGGGGGATGTTATTATTGGTTAATTTTAGAATCGAACAACTACGTTTACAGAGTATGCAATACTACTTTGTAATCACCCGATATTCAGATAAAAAAAACCTCAAAGGCATGGGCCATTTGTCACATGCAACCATCTTCTAGCAATATATAAACCACCCATATTTTGAGAATCCTATGGTTTGAGGCAAGTACTAGAGCAATGGACTGGAACTCTTGGTTATCAAAAACTGCACTTGAGCCCTCACTCGTGTATGAGTATGGCCTTGCCTTTTCTTGCAACGAGATCGAACAGGAGGACTTGGCGTACTTCAATCATCAGTTTCTTCAGAGCATGGGAATTTCAGTTGCTAAGCATAGGCTGGAGATTCTCAAGCTCGCTAGGAAGGAAACCGGAGAAGCCCCTAACAGCCTGGCCAAGCTCATTTTGGCAATCAACAAAAGTACAAGAAAGTGCTTCAACAAGTACGTTAACAAGTTGGTTCATCACGAGGACAACTCGATTAAGCCGTTGCCGGAGCCGGTTCGTCATCAAGATCAGTGGAGAGTAGCGCTGACGTTGTCACGGAAGGGCAAGAACGAGAAGGAGGTGATGAAGATAGTGCAGCCGGTGGTGAGCAGCAGGAAGGTAGCAAAATCTGGTCCCTTGGATTACAGAGGACAAGAGAAGTTGCTTGTCCTTCCTAGGAGCTTGAAACTATCAGGCCCCCTTGATAGAAGAATGCAGGAGAAAATGGTGTTCAATTATAGGAGCCCCATAACTTCTGGTCCAGCAGATGTCTCAATAGCAGCACAAGAGAGGTTGATGCTCACAAATGGGCGTAGGAGCCCAAAACTGTCTGGACCTCTTCATTACGCAAGAACACCAAGCCCAAAGCTTCAGGGTGATCATTACAACAAGGAAAAAGCAGGCCAGGACTATGATGATCAAACATTATGGGCAGAACTGTTTCAGAACATGAAACCCACTTGATCACGTCTGAGGAATCTTTCTTACCTTTGGCCTTGCATATAAGGTTAGCAGCATTGAACAGATTGTATCCTTTTTGGGCTCAGGTGACCTAAAGTTTCTAAACATATATATCCTTTAAGATTTATGGTTTGTTAGGATCTTCTTGCTCTGTAAAACCCTTCATATCGGCAACTTTCATGCTTTGTAATGAAAAAAAAAATCTGTGGTGTGAGCTTTCCCAGAATTTTTTGGCCATGTATGCAAATTCATGCATCTTTTTGTTGAAGTGATTGATCTTCTTCAATATTGCAAAGATGTTAATTTTCACACTAAATGCTGCTAGAGAGAATTGTTTTGAGAATTCAATGATTTTGATCCTGCATTTCAATGCGGTCGATATGGCTTTACTCACTCTCTTAACAAGAGCTAGCTACCGTATTGAATACCAGCCAGCCTTGTTCAATTTCTCTCTAAATATTGAATCCCACAATATCTAAGGTTTTTTGAAGTTGTTGTCTACAATACAAAGGAATTTAACTCAGCTGCTGAGAATTAGAGCAAGGGTTTTAAGAATCCTAGAGTGCAACAACACATGAAAGCATAAATTTAGAGTTTAAGCGCAGCAAAATGGAGAAACTTTTTCTTAAAGCAAAAGAGGTCTTCATTATACCCCCTCGGAATTTGATTTAACTTTGAAAATCCTTTTTGCTTCAAATTATTACAGCTTCCTGTTCACTAAAGAAGAAGGTTGATGAAGCATTTATTTTATTCTTAAAATCGTATAATTTCTTTTCAATCCCTTCAGAAGTGTAAGATTATAATTCAGTACAATAAGAACCTGTACTCTGACTCCTAAATCAAAAAGATAATTTTTTTTATTGAAAAGGAATTTATTACCAGGTGTCTCATTAAAAACCACCTCTTAAGAGGAAAAGAGTAGACATATTAATAAGAGACAACATAGAACAAAATCAAAGATCCAACAAAAACAAATACAACCAACACCCAAAACTACACCACCATAAAAACTACCTCTCACCTATTCTCCTCGGTTAGCATGTCAATTAAATCCTCAAGGGGCGATAGACACATTTGAGTTTCAATTACATCAGAACCAGTACTCCTCGCCAGGCTATACGATTACCTTCTCTTAAAATATGATTGCAACGAACCTCCCATTAGCGATCCATTAACACATACATGTGCTCCAATATAGTTAAGGAAACATTTCCCACCCTTCTTTCCCGAAGTCATCGGATAGTCTTTAGGCTATCAGTCCCAACAATAATTGTTCTCATTCCCATCTTCCAGACGCAATGTAAATCAACATATATATTCCACAATTCCGCTTTCAACACTGAGCAAATGCTATGAAATTTCTTAAGCCCAACTGTCACGCTCTCTCGTGATCACGATGCCATGCCATTGCTCGTTATTGGCAAAGATCAATTTTTAAATTCGAGTTGCTGCTTTTATACGCTCTTATCCATTCCCAAACACCGCTATGGCGTCATTCCCTACCCGGCCGGTTCTAGTCAGGAGAAAAATCACATTTTGACAAGGATACGAACAACTAGTTTCCCAATCAGTAGTAGACAGTGGGCCTGTCCGAAATTCCAATTGATGAAATCTACACATCACTATGATGTTTTGCTGGTTTCAACATCACATTGAAAAACAATATATAACATAAGATATACACTAGACTTAATCACAAAGAGACAAAACATGAACTATTGTTTTTCTAGATTAAAAGAAATCTCAAATCCGCTCTTATCCTTTGAAAAAAGAAACAAACGGGGTGAGTCAGGTATCATTCAGCAACGCACCCACATGGTTGGCTCATACGCATGGAATTGTCCTGACCCTCAAAACGGAATGCAATAAAATAATAATGAAGTGTTTTTCCCCACTTAGATGGAAGGGGGACATTGGGTGATACAGATTTCTTAAGAAAATCGATCTCTTTTTGGCTTTGGGCATGCAGGAGAATCTGACAGATAATGCGGTGATATGAAATGAATCGAACGGTCCCGAATGCTAGTTGCTATGCGAACCGATTTATCTCGATCTTTCTATCGTTTCGCCCTTTCACGATTTCAAAGCTCGCCAGTTCTCTGGACCCATTTGGGCGCCACCAATATAATGACAATAAAGTGGAGGGGTGGTTTCCCTGTTTCATGTACTTAATTCTTTTCAAACCTTTTTTTTCGACGTATTATTATTGCCACTAATTTTATACAAACTTATAGAAAACGAGTTTGATTTTTTTTTTTTGAAAAAAAAATCAACTAAAGCTCAAATAAGAAGTTTTCCAGGTTGAATCAACTTCAATTACGGAGATTTTGGTTTGAAGATATTTCGGGATTAATATAGAATGTGATACCAAAAGATTATATTTATTAAAACAAAAATATAAAGAAACTGATATCGGATTTAACTTTTTTAATTCAATTGTTTCTGTGGTCTGTTCAGTTCCTGTGGGCTATTAAGTTTCTGCTTAATCATCCCTTCCCAATTTCTGTGGTAGATTGAGTTACTGTGGGCTTATTCAGTTTCTGCTAAAGTCATGTCTTCTGAGTTTCTGTGGGCTTTACTATTGACTAGTTCTTATCCTAGTGGTAATTTTGCTTTTTAATGCTTGCTTAATTGCGACACAAAGGAGACACCCGGAAAAGTATTTATTATCATTATCCGACCCCCAATGTAAATATTGCTCAGCCTCGGGTACTCCTTTCTCATCTTCAAGGTTTTTTGGTATTTTTCTGTTAATAATGTCCCCTTATTTTCTAGCAAATTTGCAAAGGGTCCTCCATGCTCATGCTGTAATTCGAGTTTTTCTCGAGTTTCCATCGTTGAAATCAATGGATTTCATTTTAGTTCTCCAAAGTTCAGTTCGATCTTCTGCCACGTTCAGTTTATTGCATCCATTATGTTTTTTCCAAGTAAATCCCAAATTCTTAGTTACCGGAATCCAAGTAAAATCAAGATCTTTAAATAACGATCGGGACAAGTTCCAATGCCTGCAAAATCAAATGAAAAATATCAACATTAAATCAAAATAAAGTACTAGATTTCCGAAAACGAAATAATGTAAAGATTAATAAAAATAGAGAGATAGATGACAGAACGGTGAAGAAATTGGAAAAAAAAGAGTAATGAGAGGAGATAAAGATCAAACGGATGACGGTGCAGATTTTGCAAACTGGAAATTGAAAAGAAAAATGGATTAAGAAAATTTGCGCTGGGATGAAATGGTGCTTGGAGAGCAAAACGAATGAAATAAATAAAACTTAAAAACCAATCAAAACTGAGATCTGGGCTCAAACTTTTAGATTTTTAATTAAACCTAATTATAGTAGTTAGATTAGTTTTTCTGAGTGTTCTGATTTTTTTTGGTCCAAAACTTCCTCAAATTTGCCATTGACTGCAAATATATGTATTTACACTAATAAAGCATATGTAGTATACTGATCTGATTCTACGGTTTCTACACCCGGAGTACTAGTAACCAAATTTGTCACAGGTCCATGATCCCATTCCCAAGATCTCCAACATCATCGCCGGATTCCGACTCCACCGCAAACATTTGTGCCGCTGCTACAAAGCTCGACTTCCAATAACCGGAAAATATCAGAGACTTACCCAAAAACCTTGCAAAAAATTTGACATACCACAAAGGGAACCATCATTAATCATCGGCTTTAGACATCACGGAGAGCCGGCTTGGCCTAGGCTGAAAAGCTGCACGACGACGCTGCTGATGAGAGGATGGTCTAATCAACGCAGACAAAGCTCTCTTAACCAAATCTCCTTCAACTCCTCCAATTCTAACTAACGAGTTCGTCATAGCAGATCTACGCGCGTTAAGCCGATTACTAGGAGCATAACCGGACGCCGCGTGCCGATTATTGAAACTCTTATGAAGACTGCAACGGAAAGATCCAGGATGCGTCGTAGGAGAACACATACAAGTACGCTTTGGCTGCTTGCTCTGTAAATTCTTTAATGCATCGGTATTTCTACGGACAGCTGAAATCGAACGGTTCGGGGAAATCGGACGATTATCGAGCGAGAACCTCACGGACGGCGAAGATGAAGGGTGGTTATAGAGATTGACACGCATAGGAGAAACAGATCTTTGTTGATTAAAAAAAGTTGAAGAGCGTGAAGTGAAGCTTGAACTCGAATACGCAAAAGCCGAGGAAGAAGAAGTTGGAGACTGTGAAGCGTAGTGAGACCTGAACCGGCCGGCTGGTGAAAGTGATCGGAGAACCGGTCCAGTAGATTTTCTAGAAGATGCCGCCATTTATTTTAGTGCGTTGCAAGAAAGATATTGCGGGAAAAAAGAAAAACGAGAGACTTTTTTTCTTCTTCTAAATTTCTACAGAGCCGTGTTTGGCTGTTCAGTTCGGCAAACCTAGCTACGCTCCAGCTATCTATTTATAGGATGGGGGAGGGGTCTGTGATTCTGAAATTTCGCGATATTTTCGGAGTCGGGATTTTTAGTTCTTCTTTTTCGCAATTGTGCCTCTCAACTTTTGTTTATTTGTTTTTCATGCCGTGGCGGACTGCCCTTTGTTTTCTTATTTTTCCTTATTTTCACACTGATTTTTTTATATTTTGAATATGATGTTTTACTAAATTTAAAAAAATGTATGAGAATTACTTTTAATTTTGGAATGTTATCTTAACAAACTCACATAAGTTATAATTTTTTATTTATTTTATAAATTAGATAATGTTGTAATTTTCTATTTATGCCAAAAATATTTATACGATGTGCTGTGAATTTAGCGTCAATCTTGTAATAAGTAGGCCGGAAATGAAATTTTCATAACACAATTATGACATTTTTGAATTAGCATTTATACGAGTTTCTTCTTTTTTCCCTTTTTCTTTATTTGTGCCCTTAGTTAAACTTCCTTGCTATATAAGAAAGTTAATGCTACAGCTGGTATCATTTATTGAGTTTGAATGAAGCGATTTTAATCAATTTGAGATTAATTAAAATGCATTTG